TCCTTTTCTCTCTTTTCCTTTCTTTTAAAATTATCCTACTGGAACTAGACTGAATCTTCCATTTACATTGAAATAAATAAATTGTAAAGCTCTGTAAACAGCAAACATTTTTATGGTATGGTGGTGAGGTGAAAACATCCTGTTTGAATTTGCACAGAAAATATTTATGTTATTTTCTTTTTTAAGGACTTATCTCTGTAATATTATTGACACATTTGGATCAATACTTTTAAAGGTTTCCCCTTTTTTTTTTAATATCAAATGCTGGAATGATCTGTATGTTTACCTTGATAATATACACTTGTCTCTTTAAGGTGACAGCAGATGGTCCAATAAGAAGTGGCAGAACTAAGTGCTGAAAATATAGCAGCCCATCTCAAGCTCCCTTAACCATAAAATCTATGAATTTATGCTCAACTGAGCGATAAGACATAGTCATGAAATGTCCAAGGGTGAATCAGGGTGGTTGGAAGTGTACCTATTTCCCCTGCGCAATGAGAAACCGTTCAATGCACTGTCTAAATGCACAGACAATATTTAGTAGCTTTATTTATCAATTAACTGCGTCCATCACGCTCAGCCTGTGTACATCATAGCGTGCTGCCGAGAATTGCTGTACCACTGTGCCTTCCAGGTTTCTGTGGGCTGTTTTGTTAATGCACGTTTTGTAGCTCTCCGCGGTTAGTTTAATACTGGCATTCCAGCGTGAACAGTTTGATAGTCTGGGGATTAAATCTTCAGAGGATGTAAGTCAGTGCATATCCACATGGCATCACAGTTTGCATCACAACACCATCAGGTTCACTACTTAACACATAATTTCAGGTTATGTGTGATTTCCCAGACAGGACTTTATCCTTCTTTGTGTCTGTAGCTGTCTCTCTGTCATTCCCTACACCTCCCATTGTATATATTCTCTGCTCCACCTGTTCTGCAACACACAGACAAACAGAGTACCAATGCTCTGCTGTGTTAAACAGGTGAAGAAACTACACTAGAAAAAAATATTCTAAACCATGGATTTTCTTCTGAACCATGCTATGTTAGCTCCATGTCCTCATCCTCAAATGACTTCTGGTATCAAACAAGCCAATTGCAGATCTGTTCCTCTACAGAGGAACAGCAAAACAATATTAACTGATTAGGCATTACCTCTGCTGTATCTGTTTTCACTATCCTTAAGCTTACTGGAATGCAAAACCGTTGCCAACATCATCCAGATCAAAGATCTTTGGACACACAGATGAATAAATTGTGTATTTTGAAAAAATCAGTGTATTTTCTGAGGAAGCTCAGGGAAAGTGAATGTACTATTCACTGTGTGAATAAAGCAGGCAGGCAGACACATCAGATCAGCATCCAGAGAAAGGGAAAGATGCCATCAGAGAAAAGGGACTACTTATCATCCTTTTCTGTCAAGACATTATGGGCCTGGCTGTGATGTAGCATGGCCATTTTCTGCATAAAGTTAATTTAAGCAGCCCAGGACAGATTATTCCCCTGCAAGAAATAATTCCTGCTTATTCTCTAAGCTGCCAGTGTAACGGAGAAGAAGAGCAGAAGCAAAGGGAGGAGGTGGGGGCTGTTGTACCTAATGCACTGCATCAGTCCTCAGTCCAGGAATCTGAGGTAGCTGCATAGTTGAGATTGTTACAGTTATTTTACAGGTGGATGGTTTGGGAAACAAAAAAGTTCGAAGGTTTGAACAAACCATAAAGAAATCACAGACACTAGGGAACACTGGATCTCCAGTCTCTGCTTTCGGAAGGTAGGAGTTGGAGACAGGGAGAGAGAATATGCATAATGTATTTTATATGCAAAACACAGTACTGTATAAAAACAAAGATCACTCACAGTTTTGCCATACATATATATAGCATAACATTAAAGAAATTGCTCATCAAAAAAGCGCAGTGATTACACAATAAAACATTTTGAGCAACAGAGATATAGCCTGGGCCATTCTCCAATGAAGAATTTTAAATTAACTAATGCAATTATTTTGACAACTGTAATTTCAGTAAAATTAAAATTCTGGATGTTGTATTTCATCATTAACACACGGTTACAAGAGCCATATATGTCTCCCTTTATATTTGTCAATGGATTTTTCCAGAATGATACAAAAATATGCTTACTTCCTGCAGTTGCAATTTACTCTATATTTTGCTCATTTGCTAGCATGTGAAAGAACTAGTTTTGAGTCTTCCTTTGTGATTTGGAGTCAAACGTAGTGTTGTACAGGTCAAAGTGTTATAAGTTTGGTAGCTGAGGTAGACAAAAATACATCAGAAAAACCTGCATATCTGCTTGAGCTATTCATAAAGAATATTATGACATCCAGCCTCTAAGTGATCAGCCCTGGGTGTGTGTCACGTTGCTGGGCTGCCACATCAGTTGTGTGCAGTCCTTGCATGCTCCAGTACCGAGACAGAGGCTCCATCCCTCCCCGTTACCTCATTGCCCCACTAAGTCATTCTGACAGAACCACTGCTGAACAAGCTGGTTATGCAGCTGCATTTTACCTCTTTGAACATCCATTCTCTTACCCTTTTCCAGGTCTGTGACTATTTCTAGTGCAAGTCCTAAAAGAAGCTTTTTTCAATTGCTTTAAAATCTGTGTAAAGCCATATTCTGCCAGATAAGGAGGAAATGAAGTTTTAGCTGGTAATCTTTCACTTTTAACGAGCTTTTAAATGAGCCAAATATTCTCAGCCAAGTGACCACCCACCTGTGGAGGGAGTAAATGTCCCTCCCTATTCCCCTTCGAGGTCCACTTTGCAAGTTTCAGAATTGCAGCTCCAAATTTCAAAGGAGGTACTCATGATATAAATCTTGGGAAAAACCAGCCAGAGGCTACAGGAAGAGCCTGTGAGTAAACAAGGGGGATGAGGAACAATCCTTCCCATATGTCAGCAAAGAAGTTTCAGAATACCTCAGGTACCAACAGCTAATCCATCCTACATGTCCTGTTCTTGTGTGGCTTGGGGCAGAGACTGAGAATGTCTGTAGGATGTCTTTTCTGGTGGGCCACAATTTAAAAATACTACTCCAAGAAAAACATCTGTGATCCCAACAGAAGCAATCTTCCTACTCAAGTGTCTTTATGACATTACAGTACATATATTTAAATCACTGAAGGTGTGATTCTATCCTCCCAGCTTAGGTGAATATCTATTCTCCTGGAGTCAGGCTCATTATTAATTGCATCTTCATTCTATGCAACAAGAGACAGCAGAGACTGCTAGGATAGTTATCTGCTGCTGTCTGGTATGTAACAACACTGTTTTTTCAGACCTGATTAATAAATGGAAACTGAGTGATTAAATTAACTTCAGTACTTTCACAGAGCTCCTAAAAATAATTTTGAAAGTTGCAATAGGTATTTTTAAAATACTATCTCTCTTTATTGTGAAGAATATGAGAGAAATCATGTAACTATTAGAGACCAAAGTTCCTGCTTTAACAATCTGGGAGGCAATCTGTGCAACCTCTTTTCATGAAATGAAGTCATGGTCCTTGGAGGAAGAACAGGAGGATGCAAAGATCTACTCACTAAAATTCTTATATTAAATAATCTTAAGAATAGATGTTTGCAAAACTATGTATCTTTTATAGTCCAACCATAAATTAAAGCTGATGCAGAACAAGCAAAATTAAAACCCAATTTTAGTCTTCATTTTGTTCTCTTCTTTCAACATTTTAGAGGCATTTAAAGCTTAGTATACCAGTGATAATAAAAGCTTTCAAGGAGCTTTAGATTCCTAACAGAACCATAGTTTTTACTGTGTCAGAGATATGGAGGAAAAATTCTTGTGAACTGAGTTGAACTGGGTTTCACTTTCCAGTACCCATTTACTCACAAAAAAAAATTGTACAGTGTAATACATTTGTAATTCCACTTTGCCATGTAAACCTTATTTCTTTGCAGTTGCAGGGTTTGCGGTCCATTGATCCCTGCAAGTTGTTTTCATCTCTTGCTGATATCTTTTTCCATCAACATTTTAGTTACTTGTAGGGATTAGCCCCTTTTGCTGCCCAGTCATTACCACAAGTATTAAGTTGGTGCTTCAATATTTTCCTTCTTTTTTGCTTGAGAGCACTGACTTCCTGACCCTCAGCATCTGCACACTTGGGTAGTCCTAAGCTCTCTGATTGCCAGCCGTGGCCAGTGCCAGAGGTGTGGGTGCCCCTCAAGAGTTCCACTTTGGGAACACAAAACCATGTAATTCTGGACATACTCACAGCATCTTTGGAAAAAACTGCTGGTTTCCTTTGTGATATGCATCAGAAAGAGAAAATCCCAGCTGATTTTACACTCTGAATTTCCTAAGTGTTATTTTTCTTCACTGTCCCTTTCTTCCCACCAGGTTCCCTTCCAGCTCTGAAGGATAAGAACAGCACCCACTTCTTCCACAACCTAACACAATGCAGGCTGAGCTCCTTGGCAGTGCAAACCATCTCCTAGCATCTTTTCAAGTTTGGAGATCCAAGCCTTCTTTGCAAGTTCAACCTTCGAAACAGTGAATGGGATAATGTTGATGATTACTTCTGATTGCTGGTCTCTCCTTTTTGACAAACATAACTAATTTGAGCTGAATACTGCCATGCTTTCTGCCTCTGTTTTTTTGGGGGATTGTTTTTTAATTTTTTTTTTTTTCTTTTTCAGGGAGCTCTATCTTTCATTTTCTCTCCTTTACCACACCACCTGTATCTTCTGCAGTTAATTACACACTCATTTGTCCAACAAGATTAACCACACTGGCTGAACCTTGCCTTTTTTAAGATAGGGATGTAAGATAGGCCATAAGATTCTTTTCTGAACAGTGTTTCACTTTCAATAGTGACCACCTTTAGCAATTTACAGCCCTACACTGCTGTGTAAAAGTACACAAAAGTCCCCTTCATGTTGACAGCAGGTTCCTAATGTAAAGACATTCTTTCTCTCTGGTTTCACATAAACTCTGCTAATACAGATGCTTTATTCCTTCCTTCATCAGGTGAGACCTCTTGACTCCAGTACTGAAGCATGCCCCAGGTCTCACTCACAGCCTGCTGCAGTGAAACACGCATATGCAGAGACCAGAGCAACTTTGTTCTGGAGGCAGAGGTCAACCCAGACAGCATTTGACTTATGAACAGCTGTGCTTTGTGAAGGACCTGACAACGTAAAGGTTCTTTCTGTTCAGGATGGTGCTGCAGTGAAACCCAAGCTGAGACTCCATTGAAGTCACAAGTTCAACTAGCCTGTTAATATAGATGAATTTTTGTGTATACTTAAGCACTTCCCTCAGATTAGCCAAAGAACACCATTTTCCTTTTTTTTTCCCTCTAATAAATAAATTTATTTTCTCCTGTTTGTCTGTCTGTCTCTCTATTTTATCTTCTTTATTGTTTGTGTTCATGTCAAGTATTGCTCATTCTGGTTTCTATTATTAATTTTTCTATCACTTCATCACATGTTAAAGGGGGATAGGAGTGGATGCCAAACTTACCTGGTATTGGCTCAGGTCATAAAATAATGCAATGCTTTGTAGAGATTCAGGACTTGTCTTAAATTGAAGATAAAGTGGTTTTTACCTCTATCATACCAAGAAAATTAATGTAGCCTCTACTTGCCTCTCTCCACCTTGGCATCCCTTATTAAACCGAGGGCAATTATGATCTGAACATTTTTAGGATGACAAACATCACGGATCACCTGAGGTTAATGTCAATTAATAGGTTGTGTCAGTTATGGAGTAACTGGCAATTGGATGAGAAAATGAAAGAAACAAAGAAGCAGAAAAAGCTGGAAGGAGATAATTATTGTATGGCTTAGAAATCAAATATAAAAGTTCAGTAAATACTGATACTGATAAAGGAATTGCTAGAAGTTAAATTCCACAGCATCTCAGTGCAGGCTGTTATGTCACACTGACAACTGCAGCACGTGAACAACGGTGTCTCTATAGCTTATATTTCATCAAGGAGTTTCACTGGCACGTGGGAGCTGTCAAGGCCTGGAGAGGTGATCTGTCAGAAGGATGTCTGCAGCATTAAGTGTTTAATGCCATTTTAATAACAGTTTTGCAGTTCCTGTATATACCTGTGAATGGCTGTGTATTGTTTTAAAACACTTCCTTTTAACTTCAGGTACAATTGAGCCAGATCCTTTACAGACATAATTTGCTGTGGTTCTTTTTATTTCAACAGGATTGTGCCGTCTGATGCTGAGACCCAATAGATTTTATATCCTCTGAGTACCATATATCCTGGAGAAAACTGATTTATGTAGAAAATAGTTTTCACCTGGCATAACATACTGCGAAGGAAAAATGAGAGACAAGAAAACAAACTGTCTGCTTTCCTAAGTTAGAACTTTCTCCATTCCAGTTAAGGAAGTAAATAATAAGACATTATCTATTATTGCATTTCTCTATTATTGAGTCAGCTTTAAATAAAAGTCTTGATTAATACACATAGATATATTTATGAATTTTATACATATGAGATATTAAAAAAAAATGCACATTGAATTTGATTTTTCAATTAGACACACATTGGAATGTAACAAAAAATAAGTGTGACACTGTCAAATTTCAATAAATTTGTCATGATTTCATATCTCATGGGAGATCGTGAGCTGTTTCCAAATCTCACTAAGTAACAGAAATAAAATATGATTTCATGAACAAGGTGTTATCACCAGTGTCACAGTAACTGCACCCACCAATCAGGCACACAACTGAGCAAAAAATATGTGTTAGTAATAAATTTGGATTTCAAACAATTACGTCTTGCACCTAGCTATCTTGTAATTTCCATATTATTTCTATCTGATATTAAAGGCCATAGATTTCATGATATTTTGAAGATGTCTAGTGTCATTTTTAGCTTCCTAATGCACCGATATTTGGATATATGAAATGCAAGGTAGGTTATGAAGAAAGAGTAAGAAGAAAACCCAAAGTAATATGTAATAATGTGCATACAAAAAACCCCAAATTCTCTTGGGTTGCACCAATTGTATTTGAAACACTTTTTCTTTCTTTTTTTTGAAATTCCTTCTTTCATCTCAGACAATATTCAGGTGCTGCCTAATAGCCACTATTCAGTATCACAAAATGATCAGTAGTGAGTTTTTTGTTTCATGGAACTATTTCTACTTTGTTTTTATTTGACTTCATGAATTTAAGGCTTGCAATTTATCTTAAAAGCATGTAATGAGAATCACAGAACCATGGACTATCCTGAGATGGAGGGACCCACAATGATCATCGAGTTTAACTCCTGACCCTGCACAGAGCAAGCCTAGGGATCACACCCTGTGCCTGAGAGCATTGTCCAAATGCTTCTTGAACTCTGTAGGCTTGGTGCTGTGACCACTTCCCTGGTGAGCCTGTTTCAGTGCCCAACCACCCTGTGGATGAAGAACTTTTCCTCATGCTAAACCTGAGTCTCCCCTGACACAGTTTCTTGGTGTTCCCTTGGGTCCTTTCACTGGCCACCACAGAGAAGAGATCAGTGCTGCCCCTGCACTGACCCTCATGAGGAGCCTATACACTGCAATGAAGCCTCCTCCAGGCTGAAAAGACCAAGTGACCTCAGCTGCTCCTGATATGGCTTCTCCTCTAATCTGTGTCTAAGAATGATCTTGTTTGCAACATCTTCCATGGGCAGATTTCTCGGGAAAATCAACAAACTTGGTACCCTATATCCATAGGATTTAAGAAAAATAAGATCCTTTGCCTAGCCAGAGCAAGAGTATTTGTAAATAGAAACAGGGAATCATGTTGTACTTTCATGGCTGCTTACTAAATTAACCTGCAGCTATCTCTGATATACATTGTAATTTTAAGGCTGGGGAATATGGTGAATGCCATAAAAAGAATGCCCTGAACACAGATCCAACGTATTCACATGTGTTTGAACCTCAATGGTATGTGTCTGTTCTTTATGTTTGAAACCACTTTTCTAAAAGAAAAAAAAAAAAAAAAGGTAAATTTTGAAAGACAAAAAAAATTCCATTTTATCTTGCCCAATATGCAACATTTTTTAATACCCACGTAGTAGTGAAAAATAGGGAGATAATATGTGGATTACTTAAAATTGTTGCGTATTTTCTTGCTTAGAACATAAGTAATTACATTAGTACAGCCGACTACAAAAACGAGAAATAAATTCACATTAGTTGAATCTGTGTTAGTAGACATTCTTGGTGTGTAATTCAGATTAATATTTATAGCACTGCATGAATTTCTCATACTTGGCTCTGTAAATTTAGCTTGGAGGACACCAACAACTGTGCTTAGTTTGTGATGCAATGAAAAAAGTCCATGCTGATTGAAGTCCAAAATTATTTCCAACTATAAATGTATATTTGTGCTTCTGTCTTTCCAAAGTGGCTGAAATTAAAAAACATTTCAAGTTGTTGTTTGGTTGTTTTTTTTTAAAAAAAGCCTCTCACCCTCAAGATACAATGTTCCTACATTATAACGTGAAAGATTAACTTCCACATGTATGTATGTAATTTTTTCAAAGCAACAAAAGTGTCTTTGAACTTTCATCTTAAAATCTAAGTCATGGTTGAATCTCTTAGAAAGATTCCTCATCTGTTCATTAGAATTCTGCCTCTGCATTCATAGTTTTCCACATCTTTTTAAATGCAGTTCTAAATATTTTTCTTTCTTTCAAGATTAATATTTTTAATTAGGAAGAAAAGTCTACTTTTTCTACTTTTTCCACACTTTTCTGTATTCAGAAGTTCTAAAATCCTTCCAAATAAATCAAATTGACAGTGTATTGGGGGCTGTTTGCTGAAGCAGTACTGGTCACAAAGACAACTACTTTAGTGCACATAGGAAAATTGCATCCAAAAAAAATTATCATATATGAGGGAAGATGAGCTCTTGAGGCAACTATCAAATTATCCTAGCAGGTAGCTGGAACTGATGAACAAAAACATGTCTTTTTAAATAAGAAATAGCTAATAGGGTCTAAGGAAATGTATTAAAGTAATAAATGCTCAGATTGGTGCATGAATGGCAATGCTCATATGTTACCAGACATAAACATAAAAGATATGGCCCAGATTAAACAAAGTCAGGGTTTGTGCCTAATTTAAGTAGACCCCCAAAAATATTTGAAACATTATTCCACTGTCAATAGATAACATATTTTATATCCAGTGTCTGAATTCCCAGCTGAATCCCTGGAAAGATGTTCGTCTGTCCAGGAAATGACAATGAAAAAATCACGGTACATCAAAATTTTACTTAGTTGATCAGAGAGGGTTTCTTGCTTTGCTTTTATTTTTTGTTTGGTTTTTTTTGCTAGCTTTTGTGAGTAGTAATAACTAGAGTAGAGGCAAATCATAGATTTTAGCAGTGTTTTAACAATAGTTCCTGACTTTATTTTCCTAAACTGCACATCGATGGTTTCTGGCTTTACTGCCATTGTGTGCTGGTTTTCTGACATTAATTTGAGATGACGTAGATAAGAGAAGCAATTCCATTCATCAAATCAAATTCTGCTTGTAAGTATGCCTTTCAAGAAAAAGGAAGATCTGTATTTCTTCTAAGTGTTTGCAGGTCGTGCATCTGTGATAACTCAAATAATGAAAGCCAGGATTGATGATTGGCTGATTCAGTGAAGCTCTTGCCAACAATTTTCAGAGATTAGGAGGTTGTTGGAAAGATATCAATGAAGGTTTAGGGATCACTGTCTGAAGTATTCTAAATTAACAGCTAATGGATGTTTTTAATAGCTCTTTTATAGATGAGTGCAGATGAATGAAAACCGACAAGAAAGCTCAGCTTTGCTTGGTATGAGCTTTAACTTTTTTTCACACATGATGACCTGCCTCTGCACTAGCTTTCTCACTTTGTTTCTGTACAGGGTAAAAATTCATTTATTTTATAGTTAATAAATATATCCACACATTGTTTGGTCTTTTTGGGTTTTTGTTTTGTTTTGGTTTGGGGTTTTTTTGTTTGTTTGTTTTTTTGGAGGGGGGGGATTGGTTTTTGTTTTGTTTTTTTTCAAGTAGTAGAGAATATTTTTTTCCTAAAATGCTGCATATACCCAGTGCTGGACTACTCTTTTCCAAAGATTTGTTCATCCATCCTGCTGTTTCTGGCAAAGTTCAGTTCTTGCAGAAATGGTGAGCAGACATGAAAAAAATGAATACTCTTTGATTATAGCTGGTGTAATCAAGTTGTCTGACCTTCCTGGTGCACAAAGAGACATGACTTGGGTATTCAATATTCAATTTCAGTGGCCCAAAGAGATGAATAAATATAAGGGAGACAGAGTTCATATGAAAGTATACCATTGGGACAGAAAATAAATGTCTTGAGGTTGTTTTTTGCACTAGAGCTCATGTGATTCTGATCATCTCCGTTGACGCCAAAGGGCTGTCAAAAGACAGAATTTTTGTCATAGAATGGGGAGAGATGTGACATCATTGCTTCTGCCTAGTTCACGGGTGCTTAAAATTATCTAAATGTTTTAACTCTCAAAATTCTGCCAAGAGGGATTCAGCTCTTTCAATAAAGAGCTCTATTTCTGCTTATACGTGTTCTCTTTTCCCTTCTGCACTATGAGAATATCAGATGAATAAAAAATATAGTTTAAAATTTTGCATTTACCTTAAGGCAGACAAAATATTCAGCAAAGAAACATCTTTTCCTCATACTAAGGCTTTTCTGCTAATATAGAAACAAATTTTTAAAAATATCCAAATGAAAAACAACACATATTCTTAAAATTACTCTGACATCAAAGAGATGCCAGTTAAACATCATTTTAGAACTATTTGTCAAATTTCTATTTTTACTCATAGACAGGCTGTGTGAGGAAAACATAATGTTACTGGATGTTTTTATGTGTGGATAGCAAAGTCAAACTGCATATTTTCAGTGACTGTAATTGTAGCTTAGACGTCTAGACCAATGTGAAAAATACATTTAGACGATATGTTTTGGTGTCTGAAACTGGAGTTGAAACCCACTATAAAAATCTTTAGATTATGTATCAATAAAATAACAGTTATTTCACTGTTTTTTTTATCTTGTACTATTCTAGTACATTCTGTAATGATGAATTCTGAGAAGTAGCTCCTGATACCACCTACAAGGACACAAATTCACTTCTTTCATTATTAATAAGTGCTATGAGAAACATGAAATTTCAACCTTTTTACAAGCCTTCTAG